AAAAGTTCTGGCACAGATCTTTACTGTTTCCACATTCAGTTGTCTTCCTCCTGTAATCACAACTCTGTCCTTAAACCAAGCACTTAGGTCAGAATGGAAAATATGTCCTTCCTCTTAACAGTGTCACACTACAGTAAGTCAAATATTTGCTATAATGTGCACTGGCAATAAATCGGAGTGTATCTTTAAAGGGCTGTCTGGGCTTTTAACAGGGCCAAAAAATTCATACATCTGTCAAGTTATCGAAATCATTTTTTTGAAATTTGACACATGTAGGGTGGTAATTTCTGTCACTAGAACAGATTTCATTCTGAACTGATCCAGATTCTGGGTCTGACAGCCATTTAAAGTTAACATTGAAAACCGCATTTAACACTATCTGCCATAACTTGGCCTGTAATGAAGACAAAACCCTGAAATGTTAAGGTAAGATGCACAGTACAGCTGCCTATCATACCCTAAAACGTGATCTGGATCTGATCTGAATGAAGGCTTTTAGGACACATTTTGTGTTCTGGATCTCATTTTTCACAAGGGACCCAATTGTGTGAGTGAATGTTGTTCCTTGGGAGAGGTACCTTTCTTCTCTGGGTGCTCTTGTTCATGATAGGCTGTGTGTTTGTGCTTGCTCTTGTTCATGATAGGCTGTGTGTTTGGGCTTGTCATGCTGTAGATTGATTTTGGGACCTATAAGATGTCACCCTAATATATCTGTGATGGATATGAATCTAAACATTTAAAGTGTCTTAATTATTTAAACAGTGCTGTAGGTCACCTGATGTCATGGACAAGAAAAGATTCAAGTGTCCATGTGCAAGACACAGTAGTTCAAGCATTGTATGTGTTTGTGTGAGTGAGTTTGTGTGTTTGGCTATATGACCCTAAAGAGTGAGCCAACATCAGGGAGAGGAACAGGGACAATGCAGTGCAGGTGCAAAGCACTGCACTGTAAACTGAACACATATGGTTTTATATGATGTTGTAACCTTATGTTGTCAGCAGGTGGCATTGTTGTGCTTAATTTACCAGTTTGTGGTACAGGGAATAACTGAATCACATTCTTTTATTATAGCGTCACAGTAAATTCACACAAAGGTAGATTTGAATAAACCCAAAACAGATTTGCTCATTTGAGATTCCAAACATGGTCCAGTGTGGTTATCGGTGCTGGTCCTCCTCTTCTTCACCACTGCTGGGTGTACTGCAAAGACTGGAAGATAAACAGGTGCTATTCTGCTGAAACAAGTTGTTCTCTGAACAGCGGAAGCTTTGATTCCTTGCAGATGTCAGTCATGGAGAGAAAATTAAAAGCAGTGGCACTCTAAACCTCATCATCAGAAAGGTGCTGATACCTACCGAGTATCTGTTCGGGACCTTGCTGCTGTCATGGACAGGTGTCTTCAGGTTGTGTTTACAGTGGGGACACTGAGCTCCAGCTAAAAGTAATATGAAAAACAGGATGCATGACTAGTTCATGTTATGTTAAAGCTGCACAAATAGTTTTATATTGAGTTGCAGAGTGGGAGGAGCTGCTGTTTCACCTTTCTGTATTCCCTCTTCAATTTATTTTTTAAAACAATACCTTTAAAGTTAACTGCTGAACATAAGGACTCTTCACTGAATTATCTAACCATCCTGTAGGTTTAAGGATAATTGTGAGGTTAATGAAGAACGTTAGTTGCGGCTGGTTATAGTCATGTTTTTACAAAAAACAAAATAAAAAACAGATGAAATTATGTCACAGGTTAGTGAGCAATACTATAGTCTACAAACTACTGTCACTGTCCTAAATAACTGACTCAGCTGTAGGCTATAGGACCTTGACAGCCACAGACAGAGTGAAGCATCAAATCATAGCTAACCAAATATATTCTTAACACTTGCTCTCATCCCACTTCCAGCAGAGCAGTAAATCTGTGGCCACTGATATGTGAGCCACAGTGTGGAGCAGCCTGTGTGGCCCTACATGAATCATTTAGCGGCCCTCCTTCTAATGAGGATGCTCTGGACCGTGATGGCCTACTTATTGTTATTGTGCATGTGTGTGTGATTGTTTTATGAAATGACTCTTTAACTGGGTTCAAATTGCACATACAGTGCAGAGATTATACTTTTATATTATCTGTCTGTCTGTCGATCTATTACCCTGATGCTATTTTCTGAATTTAAAGCTTTACCCTAATACTCCAAAACAAAACTGATAGAAAATCTACGTGTCATCAAAATTTTTAGAGGGTAGAAACTGAGACCGCTGATTTTTTAGTCTTTTTAGAGTAGACGTGCATAGAGCTCAGAGTATCATAAGAGAGCAATGTCACAAACTTTAATAGAACAGTATTTCTCATGCCCAAAATCAGTGTAGAAGCCAAATCCTTCTCTGAGGTAGGGCTGTCTTGAGTTCACTTTCAGTGTGGTTCCAACATGAGGCTCTGAGACACTTGATAAAACAGGCCATGACTTGGTTTATAAAGAGACTGTGTCAGACTGTTTGGGAGCTGCCACGGTGCACAGAGGTGAATATGAGACAATCATCATCCCAATATAACACAGTTAACAGTAAGCATGATACCTGTTTGCTCTTGTATTGTGCTTGTGTCGGTTGGATTGCAGATGGTATCAGAACGCTTGTTCACCAGCTGTGAGGAGAGACACCAACTGAAAGAAACACTAAAGCACTAAAGAGCATTGTGTAGAGAATATGTCAAGTTCTGTGGAAGGTCCAGTGTATAGAGACTAAACAATCTCCACCTTTGCACACCTTGTGTTTGGACCTTGGACTCTCAACTGCTCCCTGCTCTTGTTTGGCTTGGTCTGCTTTGAACTGTTTTGTAGGCTTTTGACCCACATATGGACTTTGAGTTCTGTTATCCTGTTTTGTTTTGTCTCCCTGGCCTGATCCTCAGGCTCTGCATGGTGTCTTTCATACAAAACAAAACATACCTGACCACGATTTGGACGGTTACTTCTGGCAATGAAAGATTTCACTTTGATTTGGATTTTAATACATTTGGAAAAAAATAAAAATAAAAATCTAATACCATGTTTTCACTTTGTCATTTTGGGTTACTGAGTGTAAACATATGACAAAATGTTAATTTTATCAATTTAAAATTAAAAAGTGGGGGGTTTGAAAACTTTATGAAGTTACTGTCCTCTATGTGTGTTATCACCACCAGTCGTTGATCGGTGGAACAGCAGCAGGAA